CCCCCTCCCCTCTCCCCCCCCCCTATTGGATTGTCTTGCTGAGACAACACTGTATTCCAGCCTAGGGGATATGTTGCAATCCTTCGTCACCCGGGAACAAAACTGTATTCCAGCCTCAGTGATTTGCCACACGTGGTTATCTTGGCCATGGTCACAGTTTGCACCATATTCCCGAGGATGGAATACAGTGGTGTCTCAGCAAGACAATCCAATACCAGGGGATGGCTCTGATCAGCCGCGTCTCGGCTTTCTGTTTTCCGTCTTAGTCTACCCAGCTTACTTCGGCGCTCCCCGTCGCTGATCCAATTACCCGCCTCTTTGTTCTAGATGTTACCACGAATATTCTGGGAAATTCTGAGTCTACCCTGCTTAGCTTACGCGCCCATATTCTGGGCAAACAATGTTTACAGGGGTTCAGAAAAAAAAGAGCCACCTTTTTTGTTCTTGCTTTTGTTTTTGGCTTTGTTTCTACTTTCAAGTGATACAGGCTCCACCACTCAATCTCAGAGATGGTTGCACCTGGACTGACATCGGCAGCGTTGCTCTGTTCTGTGCCCTCAGTTTGCCGATGCCAGAACGACGCTGGCCGGAGCTGGGGTGTTACCCTGTAACCTGCAACGGCAGGAGTGTGAGGCCTTGTAGAGAGATATGGGGTTTGCCGAGGGAGGAAGGTAAGCCAGTGGCGAATTGTGGGGGACCGCCTTGACACCCTATGGGGTCGGGGATAGTCTTGGCGGTGAGAAGAGGTCAGCTATGGATGATGTTGGTCTGGTCAGTACTGTCTTTGAGTAGTAATGTCCCGGTATAGGGAGGGCTAGGAGTTGCTCTATGTTTAGGAAGCGGGAATGGCTGATATAGCATAGTATTCAGTTTTTTTAGTTCTTCATCAAAAAAAGATTCTTAGCCGAAGCCGGGTAATGGCCCTGGCACCTCATATGTTGTGTAATAATTCATGTGGGATGCTGGACCCGGTTTCCAGCACGTGCTGCTCCCGACGGCCGGGGTTGGGACAGCGAATGGTTCAGTAGCCACACTATGACAGGGCCCGAATGGGGCTGATATTGCAGAAGGTTGATGGGGGGTTGCAGACACCTGGGATGGAACTTCGATCGACAAAGTGAATGAATTATGGAAAAGAAGGGTTCCATTGGCAATTCCCAGGGAGGGACTGGGGCAGTAGGAACAAGGAGCTCTAGAAGTAGGAAGGGTTATTAATGCAGCCCCGAGGGAGAGGCAGGGCTTCAGGCTATGAAATGATAAGGCCATAGTCCCAACAAATGTTGTGCTGAGATGATGTATGTAAGGGACGCTGGACCCGGTTTCCAGCAGGTGATGCTCCCCACCAATAGATGGAGATGCCAGTCAGGGTAGGACATATACTAGGCCCAGTTTTTTTGTTTTGTTTTTGTTTTCCCTTCCATGAACGTATCTGACCGCAGTCAAAGCCAAATGAGATCAAGAAAAAGTATTCCTGTGAGTATGATGTTAGGGCATAGCTACACTACTCATGTACTGTAAGAACTGGTGGATGCATTTTCATAGACAATTGCCAGATATGAACTGGTGGATACACTACTCATGTACTGTAAGAACTGGTGGATGCATTTTCATAACAACTGGTGGCAAGATACATTCCGAACTATGAATTGCAGGAGAGTAATCCATACTACTACTGTGTAAAGGATGCACTCTCCACTTTCCATGTTTCCTGAGTGGTGCTGCAAGGCCCCCGCCAAGTCAAAAAAAAAAAACACTAATGGTGGGGATGGGCTAAACTTTTTTTTCTGTTCTAATTTTCTTGGAATATCTGAATCTATCAAACAAAAAATCGGTATATGTAATAAACTACCGGCCTCACCCTAACAGAGCACCGAGTCATTTTAGCTGTATCTAGACTGCAAGCTGGCCCGGATACAAGGATTGCAGCAATTGGTGACTCATGAGGCTCTAAATATGAAGGTTGTGGGTTCAAATCCCACTCCCTCCAATTGCCAGAGCTTCCACCCGTCTCTACAAGATGCAGAGAAGCAGAGAAGCTCTAGCTATAAAAAAAAAAGAAAAAAAAAAGAGAAGCTATAGCCTCTAGCTAATCGTCCTGATATATGGCAGAAAAGAGAGTTTTTTTTTTTTTTTTTTTTTTTGGATAATGAAAATTTTATTGCAGAAGAATTTGGACGAGGCAGCCTCACATTTCTACCCGGGTTTATCCTGGCAGCCTCAGCCAGTTTTGCTTACAAGCCTAGCTCGACTACCTGCCTATCTGATCCTAGCTCGACTATCTGCCTATCTGATCCACATACCACGTCTAAAATGCTGGAAACCAGGTCCAGCGTCCTGTTTTTTGGATAAGTTCCAGTAGACCGTATGCTGGAAACCAGGTCCRGCSACCCTTTCATTCTGAAGGTTTAGCAATAAGTAAGATGATAAATTCCAGTGGTCCCTATGCTGGAAACCGGGTCCAGCGTCCCATTACTACTGTCTTCTGTTCTAAAAACAAACTTGTTGATTCTCTACCCACTTACCAAAGGAACCATCCCTTTCTCTTAAACAACTGCTGCAAATGCTAAAGAACCTCCTCCTGTGGGCAGGAGTACCTCTTCAGTCGAAATTTCGACCGCCTGATAAGAGTGATAAAACTACAGTCTTCCCCCGAATACAACGCACGGTCATTATAGCTGTATTTGAGGCATCTTTCAGTCTAGATACAGCTATAATGATCGTACGTTGTATTCGGGGGAAGACTGTAGTCTCCCCCTTTTGAGCTTTTCTATCACTTGTCTAAACCTGTATCCTATCCTTCCTCCCCCCCCCCCCAAACCACTCAAAATCCACCATCGCTAGTGGAGAGGGAGGGAATGGGTCAGCAAAGTGCTCAGGTGCTCTTAAGGACGCCCCTGGTTGGATGTCCAGCCAATTATTAAAAGTGATCTGATAATCCCGCTTGAGCATCCCCTGTTCCCCTGCCTCTCCCGGCCATACTACCTCCCCCAATTTCTCTCCTGCTGCATCCCCTAGCCATTCCAGTTGAAACTTTCGAATCCACTGTTTGATATTTGTTTTTTGTTTAAATTCTTTGAGTTTAGTTCTCGCCTTCTCCCATTTGCTTCTAATTTCTGTTTGAACAAAATTTTGTATTATTTCCATTAATTCTTGACTTTCAATCTTCACCTCTTCCATCTCATTAATACATCGTTTATTCCACAGTGCCCACAATACCGCTTTCCTCCCAAGATTAAAGACATTATGTTGGAACTCAGAGAGCTCTATCAGTTGAGGGATCCACTGACCTAACAATATTGCCTTCCATTCCCATGGCCACTCCAGTCCTGTGATCCTTTGCCACACATAATCCCATCGTCGCCACAGCAGGACTGAGCCCGGCAATTGTAGGAATATATGTTCAATTGTTTC